AGACACAGGGAAAACTTCTAGCAGCTTCTCACAGAAGCCATGCCTGTAGCCCCCCCACTACCAAGACCTTGCCACAGAAACCCAATATAAACACATGTGCTTATTTTACCAATTCAAGAAGATATTAAAATGCCAAAAGAAGGACCATTCACAATTGTTATGAATCTGCAGACAGATTAATTCTGCTCCTTTAATGAAATAAGGAACAGATGAAAGCCCAGGTGCTAGTATTATAATAAAAATAAAGAAATCAGTATTTTCTACAAGCCCATAATCTCTGTAGTTACTTTTAAAACTAGTTTTCATACACCAGGCTATATTCCGCTTTTGTATAACCTTCATATCTGACACTGGAGCCTGCTGCCTTCTTGGTTACATTGTCACATCAAGAACTCTTAACAGCAATAGCTTGCTTCCATCACAGCACATAACATACACGAAATCTGAGTTCCTCTCATTTACTCTTCTTTTTAAACCTGATCACCATTATCATGGACTATTTCTCAGTGTTTCTAAAGAACAAAGGGAGTGATAAATGGAAATAGCATTGATAGCATAACTCATGGTACTTAAAGAAAGGTATTGAAGCACTGCAACCACCAAATTCAAGCATTACTGAAGGTGACTTGATCCTCATTTTTAAAATCTTCTCTAACCGAAGCTGTATGGATTGCTGCCAAGAGTTAAAGTGACTCATTCAGTAGATTTCATCCCTACAATTTAAAGTTGAGAAAAAAAGGTATCAGCAAGTGATTTAAAGACAGATGACGTAGAAGGAGAAAACAGCACAATTACACATCAGGCCTTCGTTTGAGTTTGGTTCTGGTTTTTGTTTGTTTGGGGGTGGGTGTGTGTGGTATGTATGTTTTGTGTTTTTCTTTTTAATAAAAGGCACTATTTCAGCTCACACTGCTGAAACAGCAGTCAAAAGGAGAACCCATTTAAAAATGGCACACAGACTATAATTAGAAAATGCTTTCAACTACCTTGCCTTTAAGAAGCAAAAAGAAAACTCAGTAAAACTCCCACTAAAAATTAAGCCTTTTGGGTTTTTTTTA